AAGAGCGTCATTGCGTGTACGCTCATTGGACTTTGCAATTGGCAGATACAATGAATAGGACATTTACACGCAATGAAACAGCGTGTCGGATGATTGCCTCGCCACTCCTTCTATTCTATGACACTGACTTTTAGCTCTGACATTGAATTGACTTTAATCATTACTGCAATGCAATAAAGATTAGCCACCAAACCCAATAACGATATGCCTGCGTTTCAAGCATTTTTTTCATCTTCTTTTTCTCATTGGTCCCCCTTCTCCCCGTTCTGTCCCATCCCGTTCCATCCATTTTCTCATTATTTCTTATTCTTCTTTGTCGGTCGGCAACTATTTTCGACGGTTCTCCAGGCTACGTTCACCTGGCGAGTCGTCTGAACAATGAGGCGCGACTGCACCCGCCGCCTTTCCCAATTTGCCTCTTAGCGTCAATGGCGACGACAATGGCGCTTAAGTAAAAACAAAACAAAACGAAAAGGGACGTACGTTTCGAAGGTGATAATTGCCACTTAGGCAATCTCGATACATTTCGAACGCGCAAGAGCAGCTTGTGCACCGGTACGAATGACGTCGACGGAGTGCGGATCTTACGTGTTGCGTCGGGACCGCGTGGGAAAACCCCGACGCGACAGCTCCGTCAGGCTCAATTAAACGCCGAAATACGCCGAAATTATCGATTAAGGAGCCGAGGGGTGGCTGGGAGTTGTTCGGCCGTGCACTTTAATTATGAGGTGCGGAGGTAGAGGGACGGCCGCGGAAAACTCCGCTCGAGTGTGAGGAGCGAGCGCCGGTAAGACGGCTGCGCGAACATAATGGCGAGAACGCAAGGCGCGGATTTTCCACGCGATTACGCGAGTCCGCGACATTACGTCAGCTCGCGCTTTTAGCTCGGTTGCATCTTTGCTCGCGCGACTGCTTAACATTAACTAAACGACTTCTCGTTGGCATAGGCAGTGCATACGCCACTACCCGGCTCTTCGTCATCCTAACCTTGTACGCATTTCCAGGCCCCCGGTTTACGAGGCGAACGACTTCGGGCTCCATCAGTGTGGGGCCGCATTCTCGATATCTTTGCCATTATTTTTATAACCTCGTGATGTAATAGGGGGTGGCGAGCTGTCGCGTCACAGCTACGTCGTCACGAGTCGGTTTGACCTGGCTCGATGAGCGCACGACGGCGTCTCAATCGAGCCGAGTCCGAGCGCAGTCGTATGGAGGCAGTTTGTCATCCGGAGGAGGAAACGGCAATGCTATTTTATTTACCCAGTCCTCAAACGATATCCGAATGCTCTTTCTTGTGCAAGGACCTTTGCTCCGACGCGTCCAACGGTATGGGCGATGTCGGGAAGGTAAAGAAGGTAAGGGAGTGGAGAGTCCACGTCGCTCGGTTGAATTTGTCAGAATGAGTTTGTTGGTAGCGCGGCCGTGCGTCACCTTCGGTACGAAAATCTCTCTCTCTCTCTCTCTCTCTCTCTTGAGAGAGAGAGAGAGAGAGAGAGGAGAGAGGGACGTCTGGCATCGGTCCAGCTAAACTAATAGCTCTAATGGCGCATCGAGGATGGAGGCGGCGTGCCTAGGTTAAGGTGGAATAAAGGAAAAGTTTGAAAGGTCTCGGGAGTGAGGCGCGGAGCCGTGGTGTATCGATGGTCCCCGGGTCCAATCGTCGCCGCCAACTCCTTCACCGACGAGCGAATCCGTCGGCTGGACCGCGTTGGCTAGTGCCTCGCGGGGGCACGCGCGAGCAGCAGCCAAGGCCAATGCTGTTACGCATATTGAAATAGAGCGGGGGCCCGCGCGAATAACAAAACACGCGGCAAACGTGAAAACGACGACGAGGTCGCTATTAATAGAGACGCGGGACGTCGGTGAAGTGGGATCGTGGGCGCAGCGCGAAGATGCCGATGGTGCGCGCCATGGACGTTGAGGAGACGGGGGTGGGGTCCGGCAAGCACGACTCACGAACCGATTTCCGGGGAAGGACACGAGCATGCGCCTCCGACGCCTCGACCGAGTCGCCGGGAGTTACGAGACGGCGTCTCCCCTGCACTCGGATCTAAAAACAGAAGTGGAAATCCCATTGTCAACGTATTAGGATATCAGCGCTCGTAAAGTACGGGAAGTAGCGCGGCGTCGGAACTTTCGTTGTACCGATACGCAATACCAGTTTTATTGCCTCGCCATACGACCCCCCCCCCATCCCCCGCTCCACCCAATCAATCCCGCGCCCCGCGCGCCTATCAATAAGAACTTTAAAAATAGAGGCTCGGCTTTCGCTCGACTACCATTCGTTAACTCACTCGCTATGCCGCATTGTAATAAGCATTTGAGCAAATTTATACAAATATATACCAGTCGCCCGTTACGCACCTAATGGAGAGAAAAAACTGAGAGTCTTGAAAGGTATTATCGTCGTGTGCTTGCGCCGAGCGCTTCGCTCACTGCATTATGCAACGTTACTCGCGGATTTCCATTTTACAAGCGCGTCGCTTTTCGAAGGCTAAACAAATATTATGCGCAATTAAACAAAATACAAACAAACAAATAATAATAATAATAATAATAATAATAATAATAATAATAATAATAATAATAATAATAATAATAACAATAATTAAACGAATAATAAAGAGGAAAAGAGAGGAAGAGTAAAAAAAGTTATATGTAACAACTGCCATCGTGGCATATTGGAGTCTATTAATCAAATTAGTTGAAAGTTTTGTATTCCAGTGTATCTGTTAAATGAAAATATTTTACAGAACGAACAAAATACAAAGAGGCAAAAGCAAATAAAAATGTAAAAACAAACGCAAAACGACGGTAAAAGACTGGGTGATGCTCAATGTTGACGGAAAAACGAGGACAATTCAAATGACAATGAGACGAACCGTAATAATATATTTGCTTATAAATGCTTCTAAGGGATTATGTCACAAGGGAATTAAAATCGGACGCACGGCTCGTGCAGCGTGCAAGGGCAAAAAATAATTTGAGATAATTAATGTAGACATATCGAGACATAAGGCGGATAATAGAATTTGTTCAAACAAGCGCCACATTATATTTCTACAGGAGACACTGCTTTTGTTAATCGATGTCTTGTCTGTCCACGATAAGACAACTTTCCTTTAAAATTGTAAATTCCATTGTGTACAAAAATATCTGGGCTACGTAGCCTGTGCCCTCTGTAATTGTGAAGTAGCTGGCCTGGCGGCTGTCATTGTTCCTCCCAATCCACGAGAGCGCGTGCACACATGCCCACGCAGACACAAACACACAAACGCACAAACACGCAAGCGCGCACGCGCACACACGCAGGCACAAACGCGCACACACAAAGCCAATAATCGCTCGCTACGATGGCCTAAGTCAAGATACCGTTAAATTTAGGACGGAAGGTAAGAGGGATCCTAGGCGAAAGAACGGGAAATAAAA